TTTKGGGTTTTTTTTTTAATTAATGGGCAGGCAAAATCTGGTAGTCTAGAATTGTTCCAAAACACCTGGAAGACATCATCACTAAGCATTCAGAGTGATTGAAACCTGAACACTAAAACAAAGTCTCAGGATACTTATAAGAAGAAGATGTAAAGTGACACTTGGGCCATTTTCTCTTGGGCTAGGAGATATGGAACAGAACTATTAATTAATCTGAAGTAGAGATGGACAGAAAGAGGAGGAGGGAGAGGGACAGCAACAGAGGGAAAAGGAGAGAAAACTTACCCACTGTCAGTGAATAAATATTCTAGATGGGTCATATAAACTTCCCAAAGTGGAACATTGTATCTCTGAGCCAGAGAAACAGCAATCTTGTAGACATTTTCTTCAAGCGTTCTTTCAAAGAAAAACCACGAATTAAAATGAGAGTTATAGTACACCTCTTAGACAGAAAATAAATATTTACACTAGAAAGGTCATAATTTTCTATAAAACTTTTTGCCCCCATAAGCCAAGAAGTTAGATTTAATGCCCTAGTAGTTTATAGTTAAATAAAAATAAATAAAAAAGAAATAATAATAAAGAATATCTTCTTGGATTGGTTTATACTTGCTCTCACACTAGAAGAAAAAAAACAGAAACAAAAATGAAAACAAAACAAAAACAACCCACAAATCTCTCTACAACAGATTTCAAAAAAGGGACATCTGATCTCAACCACTGGTCTCAATGAGAGTCAGGACCTGTTTACAATCACATCCTAATTGATCTGTCAAGAACTTTGTTGTTATTTTGATGCAGAACAATGCTGACCATATTGTATTAACTTTCTTATTGAGAAAGTTATGTGCGACTAAGAAAAAAGCTATATCCATCATAAAACTATTGCAAAAACAACCATAGCTGTCAGTAAACTAGTTTACAAAATATTAGCACCACTATTTTATACACTTATTCTATAAACTCATGCTAAAAAGAGTTTACTCTCCAAATTAGAGTAGCTTTACCATATTATATTTAACACATCCTTCACATTCTTTCTACAACATAATGGAGAAGGTGACTTTACAGTGTAAGAAGAGCTTGTAGTACTTCATTATCTATACTGTCATCATAGATCATGTATAGTAAGAAAAGAGAAAAAAAAAAAGCAAACATATTATTCAGTTTAAAATTTAAAGTTTTGATTTATACTATATTTTTATCTATGCTAAACTATCTATGTAGAATCATTTGATAAAGTACGGAAAAGACAAAAAATACCACCGTCTCCCAAGCTATTCATTTAAAAACCTTTTATGTCATGGYTGATCTTAAGGGATCTAAGATTTCTGTTTCCATTTATATCCTTCCCAGATATGTTACTGCCTTTATTTTGCTCAAATAAGTCATAAACTGCTTGAAAATTAAGTTAGCAAAGCTTAAGTTAGCAAAGCACCTAGATCTTTAAATGTTTGATCAACAAGGAATAAGTTCTCATGAGACTTAAAAATATGGAAAATAAAATGACATGGTTTTGTTATATAATTTAGTAAATTCCTCACTAAATCCTAGTWAAAAGCTTCTTGGTAAATAAGATATCATCTTTTCCAGGTATTACTGCTCCTGCCAAAAGCACTTAGTAAAAGATTTAAAAATAAGGGAAAAAAAAAAGTAACATAATTTTATTCAATTTGCACATTGTCCTCACTAGAAAATGCAGATTAGGAGTCAACTGAGACGATTAAACTARGGAAGTTGTGAGATGAACAAATAATTAATTGAATCTTTGCAACTGTCTTATGTGGAGCTACTACTCAAATAGATATTGTGAAACTTTTTTCTTTTTCTTTTTTTTTTTTCCTTTTTTGCTAACTCTTCTATAACATATTTCAATTTCTGTAGGAAACTTTCTCTCCTGATTTATTCTGTTTATATGAGAAAAATAAACACACAACAACAACAAAAAAAAACCAGTATTAACGACATTCTAAGAACGGAAAGCAAGTAAACAGGTTGCATCCAAAACAAATATTTGCAACGGGGGAAGATTTTTGCATCAAACATACTTCAAATAGTCACCAACACATGTCAATCAGCTAGAAGCATACAAGTGATATACCATGTGCTCAATAAATAAAAAGATATAACAGAGAATTCCACTGGAAAAATTAACACAAGCTTTTAGGCTATTTTAATAAACGTGGTACCAAAACTTATCAAACAATCAAACCATCMTAAGATTATTAAGATTTTAATTACTTTTATAAATGCAAAGCAACAGTGCTGAAAACATCAGCTTACAGTATTATTTTTTGTTCTGCATTTCATATCATTTCTTAATAACTGCCTATTGAAACTGTAGCCACAACAATTACATGGATAAAAWCTTGCAAATATCTACACATTCTCTTGAAATTTTGATGTACAAGACACATGAAAATTAGTTATAAAATATGATATAGGCTTTGTTTGTGTTGCACAGACTCTTCCTAATCAATCCATGCTGCTAACCAACTATAATCATCTTCAAATTAAATTGAGATTTGAAGTATGTTCCATATTCAGTTTTTAGAATGTGCATGTTGATATTAACAAAGCAGTTTAAAATGAAAAGGAATTGCTAGCATACAGAATTCTTGTTTTCTATTTTTGATAACCTAAAATGAGGGGAAAAACATTCTAAAGTTTAGAAAAGCATGCAAAAGCTACAGTGAAGGCTTCAGTAATTCTGGGTTATTACAGCAAAAAAGGAAGTAATATAGAGCAGCCTTCTCTAAATTACCATGAGTAGAGTTAGCGTACAGTTAACTTATTTACATTCAGGATTGAAGTTTTTGTTGTTGCTTTGGAGTTTTTTTTTTGGATGAGATCTCTACCTATGCTCTTATTCCACTCATTCCTGATGAACTTTCAATATTAGCAACTAATGAAGAAGCAAGTCTTCCCAAGCAAGTTTTACCAATCCATTTGTTCGAGCAACATTTTATTTGCCTGGAGTAGTAGAACAAAAACATCCTTATTCATAGTAGCATTCCACTGTAAATAACCAAAGCAAGTGGTAACTTCCCAACCTTTTGAAAGGACAGCACGACTGAAAAGTCATCTCCCTGTTTAAGGCTTCAAAAAGTTTCATTTACAAATTAAAATTATAACTAGAATAGACATTACTTACTCTGCCAGGCCTAGTATAGTTTCTCTCTTGTACTGGGCATCTGCTGTAAACCTCTGCACATCCACTCCTTTGCCAAGCCCTTGGAGGACCTGGGCTTGGGTGAAATCCAGTAGCCGCTCGTTGTAGTAATGCAGCTGATTTATCAGGGTTGCTACTTCTTCAGGCCAGTCTGCATAGCCATACTGACTAACATGCTTTGTGACCATCTTAATCAGCTCTTTTGGATCAGCCTGTGGAATTAATTGAAAACAGATTAAAAAAATAGCTAATTTCTCTAATAAATTTGCCACTCTCCTCTGAGGCTCAAAATTGAAGTATTTCTTTTTGGCATGTTTCAAGCACAGTGGAAGCCAAATTTTTATGAAAGAGGTATTCTCTACAACTTTGAAATCTGTCCTTTTGGAATATTAAAGTATCATTCTGTACGCTAAAAAACTCAGGCAAGTTTGCTCAACTTCACCATGATTGAAAAATATTGAAATGTGGTGAGCATTCAGCAGTGTGTAGAATGTAGAAATTCATAATTTAAGAAATTATACCTTCTTTTGTATTTCCACTGACAGTAAACACATCTTTGCACATCTTTGAATGAAACATGAAAAATTCTACTCAATTAGATATCTAGTTCAATTAAATATGATATCTAGTTCTAACAAACATGAAAATAACAAAAATCATTAGAGCTTTGCAAATGCCAATATTGCCAGTAGTTAGAAGTCTTACTATTTTAAACAGAAAAAAAAACCATAAAAACTTAATACTAATACTAGATAGTTATGAAGAAAATCTGCACACATTGCCTACGATAAATCTATAGTGAATCCACGACAGCTTCTAAACTATTTAACATACACCTTCATGATGAAGTCCAAAAAATTCTAGCAGAAGCACAAAAGTRCCCCGAAGATTTTATAAAGCATGATAAGCAAAAAGGCAGCATGATACACTCAAGTTCTTTAGGAATCATAAAATAATTTAYGAGTGCATAAAATCAAAAATTTTTTGTTCTTTCTTACTTCAAATTTTTCCTGGATCTTATCTCATTGAAAGTTCAAATCCGAGTCACTAAGTGTAGTAGAGCTAWAAGCTATATTTAATACACATCCATATTTGATGTATATGGCAATGCGCCAATGAGAACAAGTGGCAAGGGCATATACTATTGAACAGTTTAGTAGGTAACACAGTCTTTACATAGCCAGTACATGAAAAACAGCTTGTTGAAATATGAAGTGGAGAGTATATGTTTTCAAAAATGTTCTTCTCTGCTGTTACTCTTTGCAAAAGGTAGTAACCTTTACAYCTAAGGAAATCTAGCAAGCAGTAAGTGAAAGGAAAGAGATGTTACTAGACTGAAATGGTCATGGTGCAGAATTCTCTTTAATTTGAGGTCTTTTCAAGAACCTTTGAACTCAAGAACCTTTCTTTGGGAGAAAAAATTCAGCCTTAATCTTTTCCATTCCAAACAGAAACCATAATTCAAAAAGAAACCAAAGCATRAATCTATAGTAGAGTAAGTCTATAGTAGAAGAACTCTATGAATTCCTCAGGTCAGGCCTCACTGTTGAAGATACGGGAGGCAGAAAAGAACAGTCAGGTTGGATGGAAAGTGCAAGACCAACTGGATGGTTTATGTTTGTGATGGTCATGATGGTTCATATGCCATCGTGACCAGATGTTACTCGCCTCAGAGTTCTCAAGGCAGAATGAAGTGAAACTATGTGAGTTAGCAAGACRTGGTGCATCTCTGAACATTTCCAACAACCACTAGGCCAGAGCAGTTAGAGAAGTATCTCCCAGCCATAACAGGGATCTCAAAGGGAACCTGGAGGCACAGGGCAGTGAGGTTTAAAGGCCCTTCCTGAGTGTATGCATAAAGTTTGAGGAGAAATAGTTTGTAAAAGGAAGTCGGGCTTATTAGCCCACAAGAGGCTCATACACATATGGACAAAGGGTGCAACATAGACAAACTGCAGAAAAACCCTCCAGAAAAGGGAGGCTGCCTACTAGAAAAAAACTTAAGTTCCCCTAAGACTGGAGAAGATGCCCTTTTATTGACTGAGAGCTGGTGAAGGGATATAAAGTGTGATGGTCACTTCTCAGGGTAGAGGAGAGACAGCAGTGAATCCACTGGATGTGCACAGCACCAGGAAAAGGAGCATGTACCGAACAGAACATGCACACATTTCAAGTTATAATGGATACCAAACAGCATCTGATCATGTATAAGTAGCGTTAGGCATAAACAGAAGCCTGACAGAAAAGTGAAGCTCAGGTTGCCCTAAAACAAGAAGCAGGATTGAAGGCAAAGCAGTTTTCAGTGAATAACAAAAAAGTCATTTTAATGTCATGTGAAGGCAAGGATGATTCAAAGACCAGCAAATAAACTYGAATTTAATGCAGAACATAAAACAGAAGATCCAAACGGTGAAGAAAAGGAGAGATATCACATTGCCAAAGGGAATCTGCTCATTTTCAGCATCACTAACTGAACARAAAGAAGGGCAAAGAAGTAAGTGCTAGAGCCAGAGTAGTAATTGAACCCAAAGTAGTAATAACAGCAAAGATAATCGTACTTCAAAGCTTCCATAAGCCAAAAATACAGAGCACTCCTCATTTACCATTTACAACAGACACTGGTCCTAAACTTGATAGTTAGCACTAAGAGCTCAATGTCAAGACAGAACGAGACAAGACTCTCTGATGTTTTTTCACAGTTTTGCATAGTAATGCATATCAGTAGACTCCAGTAAAAGGCCATGTATACAAATTCAACTTCAAATTAAAAATATATATTCCTTATATTGACTTAAGCTCACAGATTAAGAAGGAGGAAGGATATTTAATAAGCACAAACCAACATTCAGTCATTTATTAGCTTTATGTTTCTTTATGTTTCTTATAAGTCTGTACAACCAATATGAGGTTACCTGCTATCTGGTCTACAATGTCATGTAATAAAAATGTTTCAGACCTCATTCAATACTGGTGAGACATATGGTAGCTCACAGACTTGCCCTCGTCCTTACATCCTATATATGCCAGTCCAAAATTAGTGTCTCAGCCCTTACTTCAATATCCTAAGTCCTCCTAAGTATCCCCTAAATCTATAGGATAAGTATCATAGACATGCTTTTCTGGCTTAATGCAATTGCATTTATAAGTATGGTCAAATCTTACACAAATAAGTGACAGAATTGTCTTGGCAACAAAGTTAAACCTGAAAAAAAGGAAAACCCTAAGATCAACACAAATTTCTATATAAGCGGTTCCAAGTACACCAGCAGGTAACAATTTAAAAAATGTCTGGCATGCTGTTATTTCCTGTGTGAGAAAGGAGGTGAGAGAACAAGCCGCACACCACAGATATTTGCCACAGTCATGTCCTGCCCTGAAAGCCTGCAGAAGTAAAAGCAGCAGAAAAAAAACACTCGGTAAAACAGTGCATTTGTTTTGTAATTTATGTGAGGCGAGGACAGGCCAATTCAAAACCTCTAATTTTCTCTCTTATACAGTGTTGGAACTGTAGCAGGAAAAAAATAAACAAAATATACATAAAATAAAAAAGTTCATAAACACAAGTTCATTGTCAAGGTGCACCATTTCAGACTATTTAATTGCTAATTCTGAAGAAGAGAATTCCCAGCTTCCTTAGCAACTCCTGGCATTACCCAAAGTATCCTAAAAAAGAAACATTGAGAGTCCTATTTAGATACTGGAGTTGCAGCCCGGAGAAGGACAAGAATCAAACACTGTCTTGTTTTCTTGAAAGAAAATAATAGGTAAGGAAGCAAAAAAAACCTTAAGAATTTCTGCTAATAGCTTCTTCCCTCATGCATTATTAATGKTGAAATTCTCCATCTTTTCTTGTAATTTAGCAGTATTCGTTGGAAGCATTGCTTGAGGCACCAAAAATAAACCTGGTCTCCTAGCTAAGGTCAGTAAAGTACTCTTTTCCAAAACTATAGTAGCACTTCAGCATTAGATTATTAGCATGAAGACAGGAATATAATCTATTAATTAACCTCGGGGTAATTAAATTTCTTCACTTCTTTTTAGAGAAAACAATCCTCCAGATATCTGAGTTCTAGTCACTTATCAGATCAGCAGGACAGGACAACTGAAGAGATAAGCTGCCAACAGAAATAAAATAACCAAGCAAATCCCTTGTTCTGCTGTGCAGCAGTTCCTTTACATTCCCGCACTCTTATCTAAGCGTCCTAGATTACATTCAGGATTCCAGGGTGCAATGTACACCCATTTTGCCAAACACTTTTCAAGAAAGTTGCCACAATAACAAAATGCGAATTATTTTTTTTCTAAGCAGCAACTGGTCTCAATAGAAAGGTTCCCAGAAACAGAGCTACCTTCCTCACAACACAGAAAATCTTGCAGGACAGGGAAAACAAAACAACTATATCCTCCATCCCCATACAGCCTGAATTTGAATTTGTTTACAAATTTGAATTTGATTACAAATTTGAATTTGTAATCACACTAAGACAGGTCTTTGCCTATTCAGTCATTTGTTAAATATCTGACTAATCCTTGGATTCCTCCATTTCTCCATATGGATGCTCTTCCCTTAGTTTCTTTAAGCATACTGAAAGTCTCCTCATACCACTGTTTCACAGCATAAATTCACCATTTAAGTCTGCTATCTTTTTTTTCCCTCTGATTGGAAAAAGGCAACATCACTTCCTCATCAGTTCCTTTTTCTTCTTTCTTCTTCAGTCACAGTCCTCATTGAATACCCCTGGCATTGGTAAGAGCAAGTGGATTCTCCTGTATCCATGAATATTGAGGCCTCCTTTTTGTTTTGTTTCTGTTTGTCCTGTTATTCAAGTTCTTCTCATAAAGTTGTTTCGAAAAGATATCATTTAAAAGCAGTACTCAGAATAACAGCAGGTATTCTTTTCAGAAAACAGACTGGAATACACTGCTTATCATACATTCATATGTGGTATTTTAGTAAAATGGAACAAAAGATTCAGACAAAAATCATATTGGTAAGAGATGAACCATGTGCTGCTGTTAAGACTTGGATTATTAAATGGCAATCTGAGTAGAAACAGTTGAAGCTGTAACATATCTGTCTATATTCCCATCACTTTTAAAAGGCTACAAAGCTTCTTTCAGAAAATAAGACCGTCCTTCACCTTCATTCATAAGATGGAAGCTAAAATAATAAAAACCATCTTTTTTCATCAAAGGTGTCTCACCAGAGGCAAATCTAGGCTGAAAAGAATGATATTTTATGAATGCAAATGAGTTCCTTGCAACCAACACGTTTTACAAGCTCCACGAATTCAGTCATGGTCTAAGTTTTGATTTATCTTTTGAACAGGAGGCAACAGAATGCAAATCTACAAGAGCATGAAAAGATACTAGTCCAAAAATGGGCTAGTATCAAAACTCTGCAACTCAAAAGTTACTTTGTGAATGGGAAAAAATGTCTTCCTCTCTTTCATGATTAGTAGAAATTGCCTCTTTTCAGACAACTCATAGCCAGAATGCTCTCTTAACTGTAACAGAACGCTAGGTTGAAAACTATACAGGGGCAGAGAGGAACCCTACAGAAGCAAAGAGCTGGTGTAAATTCAAAAAGGCTCTCGGAATCTTTCCGAGACTCCAAAGAATGGAAGAATTTTCAGTTCCGAGTCTTCACTCAAGCTTAATAGGAATGGCAACTAGTGCCTTATTAATCTTTTGGATGTCACCTGCTAAGATGCAATGCAGCATTTACTGATGGCATAACTGTCTTGATCACAGGTGACAAATAAGAAGCAAAGTTCTATCATTTYGAAGAAACAAAAAGACATTTGTCCAAGGATATCAAGGTAATATCCAAGGATAACAAGTTAATCAAAAGAAATGAATTTTAAAATCAATGTGTTGTCTAAAATACAAAACATACCTCAAGACAGGAAATAAAGGAAACTTTCCAAACAGCACAGCCCTTACTTAAATGGACAGCTGACTAATCTAAGAATGTGCTGTAGTTTCTGAATACCACAAGATGACAGTAAAGGTTATGCTCATTATTTGCTTGATATTTATAAGCATCTTTGAAGATGGATAATGCCACTTACTATAAAGGATGCTTAATATTGCACATCACGAATGCACGATGCTCTTCCAGAAGCTGTTAAGTACCTGTCTGTTTGCAGCATTGTAGAGGAATAATTATRCACAGCCTAACAGGCTGTTCACAGTATAAGTCAGATCAGCTCTTTAACAGGCTTAACTCGCACACTGGCTTTTTAGAAAAGCTTTAATGCTGCACATTAATGAATATGGTTTTAAAAAGAAAGAGTACCAACCCTGTAGAGGGGGTGGCATTTGTCCTTGAAACACGGTGCCAAACGAGCATAGATCTGCAGGCTGTAGTAATAACTTGCCAGCTGGAGAGTTAAAGCAGAAGGCAATTGCTTTTCAAAGCACTTGTTGGCATCTACCACCTAGGAGAAAGAGAGCATTTATTTAGATGAAAGAATTAGCAAGCATATAACATTAAAGTGCACAAACTTTCTAAATGCTACTTGGTGTGATTTAGAAATAGCTCTGATTCTACATGTTTTCCTTTTTGACTTTACAGAAGTAAATCAGGAAGTAAAAACCACCAACAGGTAAAGATAATTATGATACTTTCCTCCCCTTGCTCCAGCCACCTTCCCCAAATGATTTTCAAACAACAGCTCTGTTTGCTCTGTACCACAAAGCTATTGCATTTCTGCAGTACATCAAACTGTCAGTCCGATGGCGAACTCCTACTGTAACTAAGAAAACTTGTGTTCTCAGCAGTGCTATGCTCATAACTCAATTCAACGACGTTGGCAAATTCTGTTAAATGCTCCAGCCCAAATACGTAAATATTAAACTGAATTAAAACCCTAAATTAAAACTTAATTAGAACCCTAAAGAAATTCTATTTTCTTGTAGTAATCCCAAGAAGAGTGTTTCCTAGAAAAATATAATAATAAAAACATCATCAAATGAACACACCTGTGGCAGTGCAAGCAGATAGGCAAGAGACAAGGCTGTATCATTGGGTAAAGCATCACATGCCAGCTGTAGCAGAACTGCAAGACATAAGAAGGGGAAATAAAGTTTTAATTACTGACCCATCTAGCCTTGACAATTAGCAACTGAAATATTTTCAGATTAACCATATTTTATTAGACACTAGCTTGAAGCGCTCTATACATACTTAATTAAACACTAATCAGTGCACTCCAAAAACAGATAATATGTAATTAAACTGCAGTACAGCTTTACCTTGACTTCCAGGCAAAGTATTTTATGCATTAACCAAACAAGAATGAGATATTGCAGTAACAGATGCTAAACAAAGTCATCATCTGCACCGATTTACCACCCAAATGGGTTGTTTGTAAAAATCAAGGTAACAGTGTAACATTGACAACATGGTAAGATATCATTGAGAGAAATGGGACAAAGTGTCTTCTCTCTGCCAAAGTGGAGCTCTAATTTGCTTATCCCTGAATACAACATGCCATAAGAAGTGTCACATGAATAAACAAGATCAGTGGAACAAAACCAGGCACAGGAATTCTCAGCAAGATCAGGGACATAAATCAGTTTATTTGCCTCATACACATTGCAAAGCAGGCAACAAAAGTCCTTTACTCTCTCCCGGGCAGTTATATCTAGACTGCGTTGTTAAACTGATGGAAGTACCAACGGCCTGCAGTTAAGATGACCTAATTCAATATCAAAGGACAGGTGTCACAGACTACAATGRGTTCCTTTAGTAACAACATAGAAGTAAAGAAAAAATTTTGTCCGTTCCTGTAATGTCAACACTTAAAACATCTTAAAGTTAAGAGTCAAAAGAAAGTACTGGAGGAAAATGAACAACAGTCACTATGAGCAGACAGAAGATGAAAGGATGGACAAACCACACTCTTCGAAAACAGCACAAGCAGCAGGTCTGACTTTCCACTTCCACTTGTCCAATATGAACAGGAATTAAGAAAGAAAAAAGGCACCTATCTGGCAAAAAATGTGAATTTAATGCTTAAAGCCAGATTAGCCAGCTCTAGTCACTTACATTTCAACTGAAATTGGACAAAAGCTGAGCAAACAAAACACTTCAAACAATAACCTCCCAACAAGATTGCTACCAGACAAATATCCACACCCAGACACAGCAGAAACGAATACATCAATAAAAAACAATGAATCTGTCTATAAAAAGATTTACATCTGGTAAAACTGTCCTCAAAACTACCTGTTCCACCTGCATAACCAGGCGATGTTTCTGTTATGCACTGTCCAAGACAGAATGAACAACTGCTGGGCCGCCAGCAGAAGAACCAGCACAGGGACAACGTGAGCACCTACTGTCTGTCAGTAGGCAACAGGTAACATGCTGCTTTACACAGCRTTTCCTTCTGAATTAAAGCAAAACCTCACAGTGGTTGCTATTAAAGATCCAACAAACAATGACAGAATAGTTGCTCTCATGAAACTCTGAATACTAGGTGTTGGGGTTCCTAGTTCTAGGAAACCCTTCATAATTCATAGCAAACGTGGCCAGAATTAGCACAGGGAATTGCAAGCACGCTTGCAAAATAAATAATCAAAACACGTACTTACAGTTATTTGGTGTTATTTTTTATCTTATTATTTCTAATCAGCAAAAACCCTGTTCCAGGTGCCTAGCTCTTTGCTTATCTTAAAGAAATCTCATATACCAATGTTGCCCTCACACGCAAATCACTCCTGAGGACAGGCTGGCAAGAGACCTGCGTAATTTAGATGCACACAAACCCACAAGGAATTCTTTATTCTGAAGGATGAATTACAAGAGGCTTGAATGATCACCCACAATTTTCGGATTATCATTAAATTGCCATCAGACTGAAGTGGATTTAAACGCTGACCCTCAGCAAGGGTCCAGCACATAAGGAGTAAACTTTCATATGAAAAGTCATCACAGAGATGCTCTAGATGGCAACATAGTTACTGCAACTACTGACCTGTCCATCAGAATCTCTGCTTCAAAGAGCTTTTACTAATATTTTTTTTGTTTTGTTTTGCTGGTGACAGCTTGTTTCTGCTACATTGAAAGTACCCAGGAGGCTGTCCAAGGAAAGATAACAGACCTCTGGAAATATCTAATATTAAAATCTTTATGAAGAGGTTTGCAAAATTTGTATTTTCTGCTTTGAACACTTACTAAGTTACTTTTATACATTCTAACAACTGTTCCCCAGCTTTCTGGGAAAAGAAAGCAAGGAATCCATAAAAATAGCCTTTTCTCCCTTTCTCTGGAAAATTAATGATTAATGTTGTAAAATCATTAATTGTGGAGTGTCTGTCATCTCGAACATAAATACTTGCTGGTGGAGCAATTGTCATCTCCACTCTTCAACAACAGTCATTACAGGCAACATACCACCAATATAAAGCCAAACAGCACCATAGTTTGGTTCATATTCTTCTATCAAGCTCAACCTAACAACATTCCAATTTTCTTCCAAGCATGTACTTAACAAGAGAGTAATAACTGCTTCCACTGTTATCCCTTCAGAGGRATATAAAATCCTCTGTACTGTATCAAAAATACATATGTAAGTCTGCATGCATATATGTATCCGTACCTTCCGTAGTGGGCAGTGGGTCCTTTCCTTCACTCTTTGTTTCTGTGAGTTTCTCTGTTCTCAGTAGGACTTCTGCAAAGCTCTCCAGAGAATTGTTCTGGTATGTGCCATAGCTCACTTCAGACTAGAAGGAAAATATGACAACTAAATGACCCGTGCCCACTACACCATGCCACTCTATTTGGTTATTTTGCATCACATAAAAAAATCGTAGAGATGAAAGTTAATGCAGGAATTGAGCTTGATAATTTTATTATTGCACAAGACCTGAAATCCATATTTAGGCAATCAAAACCAAGATTATTACTTAATTGTAAAATCTCAACTCGAAAATTAAATTCAGACCTCTGCAACAGACACTTACTTCTGCAACATACGGCTCAGCAATGAGAGATTCATAAAAKGGATGACAGCCTTGCTTTTCCACAGTGGCATTTTCTCCAGGCCCCTTTTTCAACACATCTCCAAATTCTTGACCCTAAGGTGGTGGGGGGGGGGGAAAAATAGTAGTGTAGCTAAACCTAATTGTAGGGGAAGAAAAGCTTTACAATTATAAAAATGGTAATATTCTRTAATTGCTGTACAGAAGTGAAGCAACTCTAAATGAAAATACTACTTAATTCAGAAGGGGAGAACAGGAATCTTCCAACATAAAACAGTACTACATCAGTCCAGTATTTCTAAGAAAAAGAATTATTCTCAAAAGTAGCACAAGAGAAGTAGACATTCTAAACATTACAGGAAGATACATGGAAAAATAGAAAGCAGGAAAAGGGAACTGAAAAGGAACAGTTTTGGAAAATAAAAGAASGCTATTTAAAGAGAGAACTTCACTGGTTTTTATTCCCCAAAGCTCTGAAGTTCTGCCAAATTTCAAGCATGCCTTCTATCACCAGGCTAAAAAAAAAGGTAAGAAAAGACTGGTTAGAACAAGAAGAAAAGGAGCAGCTCAGAGATCCGCTCTTTCGCCAAGATCTGCTCGCGGAGCCCCTTGAGGCCCGTTCATCCAGCTGAGCTCTTCAGCCACCAGACCCGGCAAAAGGAGCCCTGTCCTACACGAGGGCGTCGGGGACACCTGGAGGCCCCTCAGGCAGCCCTTACGTGCAGCGGCCGCAGGTAGGTGAGTGACCTCCTCCACCACTGCCCGTCGCTGACGGCGTGCAGCACGGCCTTCGTTGTCGTCGTGGTGTCCGACAGCACCTTCATGGTTCTGGACGTCGTCCAGTGCAGCAGGGCAGCGGACGGCCTAGAGGAAACGGCGGATTCGTCCTGTGAGCACAGCCAACACACAACAGCCAGCGTTAGACTCGTGCTTTAATTAGGCCGGTGACCTAAAGCCAAGCACACCAGCACTCAGACGCTGTGCGTTAATAGCTTATTTTAATGACCGTTGATTTAAGCAGCAGCTGTCGTGTAAAAACAGACAAAGGGAACTTAAAAGCAGTAAGGGAGTTTTCAACCTGAAGTGAGTAGCATGATCAGGAGAACATTTTGCCCTTTATTAAATTATAATCTCATGATACCAGCTGTTCATATTCCCAAATTTTATAATGATGTGGTTTGCTATAGCTGTTTAATGGTTCCAATAAAGCACTGAGTTCTCTACAAACGAGACACAAATTAAATATCTGCAACAATTAGGTTTTTGGGTTGTTTTTGGTAATTAGTCAAGTACAAGGGCCAAAATATGCAGAAACCATGTATACCTTATGTATACRTAATGTATATCTTATACATTAACAGTGCTGTGGAGGGCACAAAAGACAAAAATGTGAGTTTTCCAGACAAATCTGCATATGCTGATCCCATGAAGGGAAAGCTAAAGGCTTTGTAATCTCACAGACTTAGGTGGAAGTGACTGCTTAAAAAGACACAAAGTCAAGTTTTAAGTTTTCTTTTCTCTTTCTCCTTTTAGTACTCTGATAGGAAAATAAATGTACCTAGTCTCTTTTATACAGGTAACTGCATATATTCTACATTTCTATTTTGTTTCTTGGAGCTTCATTTTCCTTTTTATATATTAAATATATACATGAGTATGTATATAACAGCTAATGGATCTCGCTAACAGAAAACTTCAGTCCTGCAAAAATAAAACTCATTCTTCATGAGCAGCTAATGGAAAGGATTCAGCACAAGATTAAAACACTGAAGGTTAGGTATCATTAGGTGTATAAGCTCTTATTATGGCTTACATTGTCAGTGAAGCCTAGAAAGTAACCCAGCCTTAAGCAGACACAATAGATTTGATTCAGCTGCTTAAACCCAGACAGTGATGACTGAGATACACAAGGGCATTCAAGACATATGCACAACACTATCACATATGACAGGGGAGCTACAGTCTCTGGGCCAGCAGCTACAGGCCAGGTGCATGCCTTGGGACATCTCAAACTGTTGCAAATATCCACAATTAGGTGGATATCTGAATCAAGCCCCTAATGGCTGATTAGCTGAATTATTCTCTACACACCACTGACTGTGACGCCCCTGATTACAATCAGAATTTAAGCACCTCATGCGCACAGACCTCTGCTTTGAGGTGTGCTGTTTTTCACACAAGAGTTGAGTGACACTGAAAATGAACTTTCAAGAACACAACCCCTTCAAGAACGAGAGCTCTCACTTTCTGTGAGAGGAATTCTAATCGAGTTGCTACAGGTTTAAACAACAGTTTAAATGACAAACCACAATTTTAGTTAATTAACAACAACAGAAAAAAAGACAAAAGACTGGTTGAAATGGCAATAAAAGTATTATTTTTGCCCTGAAGTTCCAGGTGGAAGATTTCTTAGTCCACGCTACATAAATACAATATTCCGTATTTATTTCTAATGGATGAATGAATTCTCTATTCATTGTGATACAAATTCATGATCTATCAGTCTAACTTACACCTATTTTAAGACCTGGTCTATTCCCAGATCTAGTACTTGGGGGAAACAACAGCAAAAGATAACACTAATGTTTTGCTAGAAGGAACTTCATTTTCTTTTAGCAACATCTGCAAGAAAACCATCTTTTTTAGAGGGAGAAATGTCTTCAAGCACATATCTTTCATTTTTAATCAAACATTTTGGATCTCTCCATCCCTCACAAGAAAAGTGGCACTACTCTTCAAATTGCAAATTCTTCTTGTACTAATGTGCCACTGTAATTATATTTACACATTCAGATATGTAAAAGATAATGATTTTATTTAGAACAGAAGCAATGCATCTTTTAAGTATTAAGCAGATTAAACAAAGTCAGAGCTCATTTACAAAGGCAGATTTACTGTGGTTATTGTTTCTACTGTTTATACATAACACAGCATCTTGTGGCTAAGCRTTATAATCTAATAACATTAGTAATAATATTCCAAAATGCTTTTCATGAATCAAGACCTTAATTTGTTCACCAAGATGTTTTGTTTGAGCAGCACAAGAATAGCTGCTGAGGCAATTACAGAGAGTATTAGGAAAACAAAGGGTGGGAAACGAGAAAGTTTAATAAGAAAGATAGTCTGTTATGGTGGAACCACTGTAATTACCCGAGGGTAATTTTTCTAAGGAATTTCTTGAGTTGAATAACAAGGACAAGCTGGACACTTACATAATGAAGTAGATCCTTGTGCAAATGCATTAGTTCCTACATTTTTTTTTATTATTATTATTATTAACACAAATCGGAACGTCCTACAGAACAGGAACCACCAAGAATTCAGGAATGTTCTACTGAAGTCAGTATGAACAACATGGTTAGCAGGCACACATGCAATCTCAGGAACATAAGTAGGAAGCTGCTATTAAGACTTCTGCAAGTGTAATGGGAAAAAAAAYGAGGAGGAATTGAAAATAATAATGAGATGACTTCAGAAATTCATAGGGAGTTCTTCCTCATCAGCAAGAGAGAAATGTCTGACAAGCRCAACCAGCTGTTGATAGTGAGAACTGGAATATTCAATATTACATAAAGCTAGGAACAGTTAGGTCACAGAACCTTTGAAATACTGATATACTTAACAAATAGGTATTTTTAGTGCAACATAGAAAGAGAAGCATAAAAAGATATGCATACTAAAAAAGGCTCAGTCATGTCAAAAAGAATACTATGTTCAGAGCACCAGTTGGAAAAGGGTATGATAAAGTGAGAAAGAAGAGTATTTGTTAAGGCTTTGAGAAAAGGATGCTACAAGTTAATTGGGATATAAATGAAAAAAAAATCAAGCAGAAAGGAATAAAAAAACTTAGTATTTTTTTCCTGGAAAAAAAAAGTGAAAAAAAAAGGTAAAGCATCAGATATTAAGGGCAACTATTGAAATTGCAGTCACGAGATTCAATCAAGTCAGAATTGTAGCTGTTCAATATATTGCTTTTATTAAAAAGTTCAGGTTATTTAGTAGCTAAATACATTTCAAGATATTTCCTTCTGTTTCATTGCAATACAATGCTAGAAATAAAAGTTGTTGTAAATCTCCATCTAAATTAACTGTGAGAAGACAAAAAGTTAGAATAACAAATATATAGAACTCTCTTCAAAGACTTGCATTGTGAAATATAATCAGGCAAGAAAGTCATATTAGCCAAATTAAAAAAAAAAAAAAAAAAAGAAAAAAAGAAAAAAAAACCACTCAGTTAAACATATAAATTTGCCAAGTCACCTGCCAACACCAGAGAACAAACTAAAACTGAGGAGAAAAAAAAAAGAGGGCAAGGGAGGAGGAAGGGATGAGGAAAGAAGGTAATTTTCTGGATGCAAATTCCACACTATAATTAAGATTGCTTCAGATACCCAAATTGAATTGGAAATGAAGTTATCAGTAAGTTTACTCAATTCTAATGAGTACTAATGCTTGGCTCATGYTTCTGAATTAATTTATGTGCCTGCATACTTCTCTCACAACATATGCATCATCAACAGCACTACAGCATATGAAAGGACAAATTCGTTATATATATTAGAATACTGTAACTGTACATATCAGTCATTATATTATCAAAAAGTTCCAAAAATGTAATTAACCTTCATTTGATAATCTGAGGCATTTATTTATCAATTTCCAAACATTCCCCAATGTACACATACCCATAACTAAACCTCTGCTTCATACAAATGCTTCTCGTAAGTTACAAATTTAGCTCACACCTGAATATTATTTTCTGACCTGAATATTATTTTCAGTGTATTTTATTTTTCTCTCTATTTTTCTTACATATGAAAAGTTATATATGTTTCCATTCTTTTTCATTCCCCCAAAGCAGTCAAAAAAAAAAAAAAAAAAGAGTTACTTTTCTCTGAAGAGGCTAAAAAATACCTTTATTTCTTTCATGAACCAACAGTTACTTTTTCTTCAAAGAGGAAGGTATTCTCCTATTTTAACAGCATTAAAACATGAAAAGGACTAAGAATAATGGGGGGATTTCCCTCCTTTTTTTTTTCAATCTTGTTTCAGGGACAAATAAGATATCAGAACAACACAAGCATATTTTTTATATTAAGTTTGTTGCATTTCCCTCTTCACCCATCTCTCACTTTTTATTTTTCACTAAGGTGCTAAGATTACTGAGAAAACAACATCCAAGATCACAACAGAATACATGTACATATAAATATAAGCATGCAAGTAAAAACTTGCACTTTAAGACCATATACCAAATTGTTTTCTTAGATTTTTTTTCAACTTTGTCTGGTAAATGGGCAAATGAGCCTCAAATTCCGTTCTTCGTCACAATTCAAAATAAAATCTTCACTATTTTAAAGATTTTTTTAAGGCTTACCTCAGTATCCTTACTGATCAAGGATGAGGATCCTGAGATATTTATATTCTCACCTCCTTCTGAAGGAAGGAACTGGTAATTCACAGCCTGATAAAGAATCTATAAATACAGAGTAAAGAAAATCCTTGTCAGTGAAATAATGAAATAAGAATCATAACCCTGATGTAACCAGAAAGCCAATAACTTGGCATGATAAAACTTCCACAGAAAAATAAGGGGTGAGAGGCACTGAGAGGGATGAAGGGAGAAGAAATACACACATATATATATGTACATTTCATATTCTCTTACTATTGCACATACTGCATACATATTAGACAGACCCTCTTCCTATTGTAGACACCTTTTCTGACTTTTTTTTTGCATTTTTCATACAACACAAGACTTGTTCTTTGAACGGAGAGCACTCTGTTTAATAACACAAGCTAAAGAATATTAATTAAAAAATGTAAGTTATAACTGTATTACTGAGGTGACAGACAACTTTATACAGGCAAGTGCAACAAAACAAGATATAGAGTTGAATAAGGAGAATTTCTATAYGCCAGAAACAATACAAAGAATTTCATCAGAACTTCATGCTGACCAGAGGATATTAAAAATTCATTTAACCTATCCCTGTCAAAGAAAAAGAGTTTAAACTAAACAGGTAGAGCCACTGATGAACAGAGCTGAAAAACTTATGCATGGCTTATAGAGAAAGTAACTAGTGAATTTAAATAAGGAATGCCAATCAGAACAGCACGATGCAAGGAAAAAGGAACTGARCACAGGTGTTTAATGGAAATTGTAACTTCCCGGGGCAGCTGGACAGCACCAAATTAATCACAGTGCACATTTGCTGAAAACGATACTGTGCAAAAGAGAAAACTTCACTCTCAAGCTTTTTAAAGAAGAGAGCATCTTTTCCTTTGAAGAAGTAGGACACAAGACCATAAACTTTCTAGGCAGCTGCACTGCTTATCAGCTAAGCAAAAAGGAAGTCCTTGGAAGGAACAAGACAGCAATAGACATGGAATTGACAGAAAGGCTAACAAATTTGGGTTTACACAATGCCAGAAGTTTGCTTGACCTCAAACTGTAATTCCAAGCACAAGGTCGTAAAGGGAAAAACAAGGTTTCTTCCTTTTCTTTTTAATTTCTATACTAAATAAGTCTCAATCCTGCAAAGATTCCACTTATGCTGAAGCTCATATTGTGCCTCTTCCTCTCCAATTTGAGTGTCTTTCATAAGTGGTTTGCAGGAGCAAGACTTGATTTCAAGTKCTTTGTAGCACTTTATTCGGATACCATTTTATTACTGAAGCCATTCAGCTGCACAGACTGCTTTCATATTAATTAATATGAATTCCTGAAAGTAATGTAGCACATGGGTCAAACCGGAGTTAAGTTGAAAGAAAATGTAACCTTTTGACAACACACATTTCTGCAGCACAGCTTCAAGTAAAACCTTTCAAAAGGTTTTCTGTCACCATGCCAAGACTTATCTTCAAATGGCACAGCTACGTGTTCTCACATATACATGTCACCAACCGGGTGCCTACAAACCTGAGCTGGTTAAGAAATCGGTCACTGCAATTTTAACAAGAGGCTGTATATCCAAGTCTTCTTATTTTCATTAAAACCATTACATGGTTGAGATCAGTAAGGAAGAAAAATTATTTTATAGAATTATATAGAAGGTAGAGATCATAAAAGAACAAACATTTAAAGGATGCATAATGGAAGTTGTACTACAAGGTATAAAAACCCTACAGAACTTGAAAAGCACGTTAGAAAGTACTTAAATGCATTTGCCAAAAAAAAAAACTTCATCAGATATGCAATGGGGATATTAGAGGTATTAYGTACTTTAGAACTAAAATGCAAGTTCGTTCCATAGAAAAGTAGTTATAAGAAATTTTATTTGTTACAATTCAACTATGAAAATTGAAAAAAAAAAAATCAGGAGAATAGATATAATCTTGCTAGAAGATGGGAAGAAAAAAAATAAGAGCAAAAAATAAAAATGAACAATGAAGTCCCCTCTACTACCTTGGGAAACACTGAACTTGCAAGCAAAGTTTTAGAAACACCTACCTGTGTTTGCAAGGAGCTGCTCACTCCCAACAACGTCTCTATGGCACTTGGTGGACAGTGTGTCAGGGCAAAAGCCATGAGTTCCTGACGCATCCCCAGGTCACGGTAGCCTTCTGACTGACCAAGTTGACTGCACACTTCCCAGCTTTTGGAATAGCCTGCAAGGGAACACAGAATTTGCTTCTGAGGTTGGTAAGCTTTGCAAGCAACAGGAGAATGTTTCATAATCCTCACTGGACACAATAGCACGGGCTCTTCCTGCCATTCCTTGAGAAAGGCACAATCCATAAAACAAACATATCTTTACACCAACTCAGAACCCACAAGATCCATTATCATTATGCAGGTATCAGTCCAGCAGACATCTGTAGGTACCTTATGTACACATCACGGGTATCTTATTGTAACATGAAAATCAGAACATGCTTCTTCAGAGTTCACTATTAAACACATCACACTAATAATTCTAAAAATAAATAAATAATTGCATTTTCAAAAAAAAAAGTTGAACTCATCTCAGATTTTCCTGTCTCAAGATTGAAAAGAAACCCACGGGGTAACTTCAATCTTCTTTTGCATTCTGACACACATACATACCATTTACTTCAACTCATATCTTTCCATATACAGGTTTTATATGTGTATATAATCACAAATATTTTAAATGTCTTTGATGGACAGCTGCAGATCTAACAGATGAACACATTCCTATTAGCTGCCATTACATAAAAAGTACAAATAGAGTATTTCTCCAGAAGCTAAAGGAACTTGAATTATTTTCTCATTTGTGACTTACACAGGCGCCATCATATTTGATACCACCTAATACCACAGTTCACATGCTGACTTTTGACTGTTACTTTAGGTTGGAGAATTTCATATTTTACATCCAGCAGAATCTCAGTGGACTCAGACTGTGATCATCATCACATCAGCCCCATTTATTCACTTCACCTGTGGCCATGAGCTCTTGACAATGCATACTCGCTGCTTTGTAGTCCTGGAAACTGAGAGCTTGTTCTGCTAAAAGGATTAAAACTTGACCTTTTCTTTCTATTTGGTCATCTCCTGTAAGAAAAATTGAACATTTTTATTAGGTACTTGGAAGTAATATTAGTAATATTCAATTTCATTACTGTATTTCATAAAACTCTATGCCACAGCATGAAAAGACCCACCTTGTGGAAATATAATTACCTACTTTTTCCTGAAGGAAACAATAAAGAGTTACCTATTTCAAAAGTATTGGCTTTATAGCTAGCTAAAGAATCTGCGCAGCATATTACATCTACAGTTAAAAAAAGAGTTTGAAAATAAAGCAAACACCATGATTCATGTGATGGCCAAGATAAAAATAGATTAGATCAAAACTGCTATTAAAGTTAAGGGGCATATAAATCCAAATACTGACAAAAACAATCACTCCTTCTGTGCACTGTAAAGCAAAAGACTTCAGAAATTTATGTTTTTTTACAGTACACAAAGCCCTCAATTTAAACATTCGCCTTCACAGAACCAAGTGATTCACGAGAAGAAGACGACAGGTATTAAAATTACCACTCTGCTAAATTTAGAGAGTAGAACCAAAAACATTTTACRTCATACACATTATGATCACTAGATTTTCTACTCAGTGCCCCTTCTCCCAACTATATGAGYATAAATGAGTTGAAAAAATAAATCAGGACAGATAAAACTCTTCTGACTAAAGTTTCATGATAGATGACTCGGCACACAAAAACTGGCTCTGCAGGAGTTCAGGAGTTAAGAGATTTTTCATTCACAACCACATTTTTTTTTTCTGTTCAATCAGTTTTCTGTCAAAATTTATGGAATTTTATGAACAAAAACAAGCACAACAAAATATGTGTATAATGCTTTTTTGTTATAGTTATACAGATGTCTTTGGGGTAAAGGATATGCAAGTACCCAATAATGTATCCCCACATTTTATATTCTCCAGAAAGGAAGTAGTTTATGAATATTATGGACAATTCCCTTCCTTTACCAGAAGTTTATTTCTTACCCTTTTCCAAAGCAACACAGCAGAATCAAAATATTATTTATATAGAAATGGATATCTAGATAACAGCTGATCCAGCCTAGTGCTCAAAGGAATGGTTATGTCCATGCACTCTTTCGAAAAGTCACTAAACACACATATAAATATACAGAAAAAATTAGTCCAAGCTAATTCTTTTTATTTGGGAGAGAAGCAAGAATCTTTATTTTTATTTTTAAAGAAAATCAATGCCAACTTCCTGATCATTTCCTTCTCCCTATTATTAAAAACATATTTTTAAGGAGTCATTACTGAGGCATTTATCTGAGAAAGACAATGGATTGTGAAACTCCATCACCACAACTTCTGAAAAACAAATATTTTATAAGGTTACACAGATATATTTCCAAGAGTTATTGTAAAAGGATATGTTCTTAAATTATATAGTTATTTATAGACTATATATTTATATAATTAYATATTTATAGACTGCTTATTTTATAGAYCATCAGATGCATTACAGGTAAAGTGAATTTCTTTTTAAAGCCATTTCAAAAGATATGACGAATCAGTTGTGCTAGAAGGACAATCACAGGAAGATACCCCTCCTACTTATAGTTTTAAACCAAGCTTCCCTAGTTCCAGCACAAGACTAGCTCAGCCAAGAGAAGAGCGTGGCCTTCATCACTCCACCTTCAGCCTCTCACCCCACTGTCAACAGCACCCATGCCAGCAGCCCTTGAGTCTTGGAAATTAGTCACATCCAAGAATATTAAGTTGCAAAACATAACACGTGCTGCACGTACTGTTTCGCCTGCTGGAAGTTGAGGATTTTGCATCTAGAGGATTTCTCATCTAGCAATTAAAGATGACAAAAAGATGTTTCCATCTGCAAAAGTTAAATTTAAACTGGATTTCAGAAGGCATTTCATGGACAAAAAGTTGACCATGAGGCAGCAGCGTGGCCTCGTGGCTAAGAAGGTCAGTGAGGGTGACAGAGCACTGGAACAGGCTGCGCCAGGAGGTTGTGGAGTCTCCTCTGAAGATCTTCAAAACCYGCTTGGACGCAGCCCTGTGCCACATGCTCTAGGTGACCCTGCGTCATGTGCAGGGGCATTGGACTAGATGACCTCTGAGGTCCCTTCCAACCTTAATGATTCTCTGATTTGTAATTTTCACTGACCCTTTGATGCTGACTCCACACTGAGAATATTAATACTTGTGGAGAGATTTGTCCAGTTGCAAGAMAAATGAAAGGCAGTAAAACAAATCAAGCTGTTTTTAATCCAGATTTCAACTAGACAAAATAATCTCTGATTTTTTTTTATTTTTTTTTTAATTGTGTAAAAACACTGGAGCTGGATGGAAGAGAGGATGAAAACTTGGAGCAAGGATCTGATCTATCCATTCCCACTCCTTTCTTCTCCCTCATCTCTCTTGGCTAAAGGACTTGGCTGAGCTAGGGTATACTTCTGCATTTTTTACACCAGTGCCAGCACAAATATACAGATCCTCCTCTTTCCATTCTATGTCATACTTTTTACCTCATCTCCATTTTTCTCTCATTTCAACTGCCACGATCTTCATGTACATTTTTATGTCACAAAATGACTGTCAGCTCCAATACCATCAGTGAGGCCCCTGCATCCCACAGCCAGAACCTTTCTTTGTGGGCTTTTCATTGCCTCAGCAGTGCAGTCACCTAAAATACTACCTATTCTAGGTTAGCAGCATGTTCTTATTCCAACATTCAAATAAGAAAAAAAAAGAAAACAAAAAAACACCCCACTTCTGTAGTTTCATGGCTTATTCTTCAAAGAGATTTTTAATAGTCTTAAAAAAGTGAAAGAGTCTTTTTAATACTGAATTGTTCCCCTGCCATTTTGACAAACATGCAAGCTCTCAAAACAACAAAAGTTCAGTAAAGGGAAAAAAATGTATACATTAAATAACAATCCTATTTTATCACTTAAATCTGTATTTATTTTTTACTGCCTGGCACTCAGATTCATACAAATCAAGTTCAGAAACTAGAAAGCATTATTTTTGCTTCCCTTGCATCATTTGTGCAATCATGAGTGTGTTCATGTCCAGGTGTGCTCAGTTTCTTAGGACTACCCCTTTTCACCATGAGAGAGACATTTCTATTTCAAGGTTTACTCTGCTCAACAAGATTGGAGAGATCCTCCAAGTTTTCTTTCTCAATCCCCCATGTTCTTCTATTCTAAGGCTTAACATCCGAGCACAGAAAATCTGAGCACAAGCTAAAATTGTTAAAATTACCTTATGGATATTAAAATTAACTAAGTTACCATAAACATGTTGAAAGAGGAGAAAAATAATCAAAACCAAAATTTCTAGAATGCTTCAGAAATWATCACTTAGATGAAGTGTACTGTTCATTGTACCTTTTTGAACACAGTAAGGACACAGAATACTTAAGTTTTTTTTATTATTYCTTTTTACTCTTTTATTTTACAAGCAAATAATTACTTAAAATAATAATACTTTCTTAACTAGGTGTAGATTAAGCAAGGATCAGGAGACTTGGAACACCTCCAGTTCCTTTATCAGCCTCAGATTTTCTGTCTGTCATGMTGAACACATTGCTTATATGTGACACTGAGATAACACTTGAATGCCTGTCTTAAGAGACAGAAATAATGAGGCTTAAGAAGAGTTTACAGTCATTAATCAAGTATCGTACAGCAGTTAAGAGCACAGATCATATATAATTACCTAATGTTCCACCTTCAACAAGTATGAATATAAATTCCATTGTGTGCTTTCACTGCTACTCTCTAAAATTTCAAACTCTTTTAAGAGAATACACCAAAAATGTATTATAATTCTGTTATGTAGAATTTATATAGTTATAGATATACATAGATATTTTCCACATAGGTTCTTTGTAAAGCCATGCTGGAGGGGAGGAAGGGCTGTGACACATCTCTCCAGCCAGYAGATAGATAAAGCCCTGGCAGACACACCTGGTGGATTAGGAATGGAAGGGGCTGCAAATGTGGGAACCCACAGCCCGTACAGGTAAGTACTGTACACAGGACACCAATCAGAACCTCTTTGGCAGAAACTATGACTCAAATCAGGGCAATTGTTTTGATACTGAAACGCAATTAGGGATCAAACACAACTTTCTTCCAGCAGCATTTTTTTAAGCAACTCATCATCAAGGTAGTCCTTAAAAATATTCATCTCCTAAGCTCTTCACTAACGTCAAAACTCGTCCCAATAYATCTCCATAGCACCATTCCTTTGTATCACATGCTGCTAGAAATCAAGTTGCCCTTCTTCAATAATTATAAAACAGTTAACAAAAACTAATTGTTTCCTACTGGCAAGTAAGTTTTTCTTTTCAATATGTTAAAATAAAATATACTCATTTATAATTCTTAAGTCTAATTAAGAGCTGCCCTTTTGGCAATACAATATAATTTGTGGGATAACATTAACTTCTGTTATTCTCTTTATGGCTGGCAAGTTATAAATAAAGTTCTTCACCATATGAAATTGCAATTCAACAAAACTAAAATTCTGAGTTGACAGATGCATAAATTACACAAATGCTCTTTATAAATGTTTTGCTTTCTTTTTTTTAATGTCTATTACATTAAGACAAATTTCATTTACAGATGAGTATTTTCATTTATAGACCTTCATTAAGGCTATGCCAGCATTCCATCTAATACTGTGTTTTTAAAGCGAGTATTATTTTATGTAAATCATTTATAACTTCAAATTGAGTGTAAGGTTACCTATTCAAGCAGTCAATTAAAGTACACACAGCAGTAATTTACATTTATTTAGCGTAAGAGACAAGAGAAATAATGGCAAGTGTCAAAGCAGTGTTTTGCTCACTGACATACACTTTTACTATAAAAATTACATAATTACCAGAAAAACAACTACCATCATTACTCCTCAGGTTAACCTTGTACAGTCAGAGACTCAGTATTCTTAGAATAAATATGTATTTTTTCCCCATAATTAGTTTGAAAATCACTTATCTCCTTAAAAAGTGACGGCCAATCACACACACACATCCCATCACTGTCACAAAACATGTGGCTATTTCAAAATTTGACTTTGAATCTCTCTTTATAATCTTTCATTTCAATTATGGCCAAGTTTCACAATGATTATAAAGCTAGCACACAGGCAATCTATTACCATATCAACAAACTCCACATGGACTCCCTAAAATTCCCCACCTAATTTATGTTGCCTCTCATCTTTTCTCCTCTGGAGAGAGGAGCCAGCAGTTTTGCTGCATGTTCAAAGGGACATGCCAGGGCACTGTAGGCTCTGATGCTTTAATAAAGCACTAAAATAACAATATTGGGGGAAAACCACAACTTTTATGCTTTTAGGCTTTACAGTAGCACTTTGGATTTTGATTTTCTTCTTCAGTTTTCTCCCCCAAAAGAAAACCCTCCAGATTCACAAAAGAGAAAGCCTAACAACCTTGGTATATTACGAAAAAGTAAGAAATTTTAACTGGATTTGGGAGGATATAAGGGAGAAGCTGTTGTATATCAGTCTTCCCTTTTGAACCAATATGAATATACCACCTATTCCAAGGCGTTTAGATAGTGAGGTATGACTCTCTTGTGACGATTCTTCATACAGAACATGAGATTATCATTGCAAAATAAACATTACTAGGTGACTGGAGCCAATCTGCACCGTTTGGTATCATGCCCTCCCCCTTCATGTTTCAAGTAGTGATACTAAGCACAGGGATTTCAATAGTGACAGGGTTACCTGCTGGGACATGCTGTGCACTTTCTTTAGGACCCAGGCATCTCAGGAGGTCAAAGTTATTTCTGCATCTCTGTTCATAATCATAACCAACCTCATTCAATAGTTCCCTCCTTCTGGATAAGCTACTGTACAATAAGTGTCCTTTTACCTCCTTCAAGATACCCTTCAGCTCCTCAAATGAATATTCAAGCTATGCAACACATTATTTTTAGCACACCAAGGGGATGCACTAAGCATAGACAAAAGCCTGTCTAATAATTGAAATTTATGCGTCACGTTTGACTTTTTTTCCTCTAACCTAAACAGAACTGTTATTAAATCAAACTACATTATTTGACAGGGATAAAAGATTTACTGCAATTTCAGTACTACCAATTGACTGCAAGACATAAAATATTCTCATCCATAACTCAAATCTGAAATGAGCTTTTGTTCAAAATCCATATTAGACAAGGCTGTTCTTATTTTATGCAGCAAAGAAGGTTAGAAAGCTGACTTCAAGATCAGTTGTTCTACAGGCAAAATATTTCATTCCTGTAAAATATTTCATTCCTCCCTGACAACTGCTCTTCCAGAGGGCTTTTTAGTGACGTCCTTGAACAGACATCCTAATGATCAACTCAAATGTCCTAGGGAATAACGCAAATATATGTCATATTGCAATGCAGTATTTTATAACCATTTACCTGCAATCCTCAATAAATTTGCTAGCCCCAAGAGCTTAGCAGACTGCTTGTAGTTTGTTGGCGACCGAGCAAGGCAGTCCTTGATGAGGCTAAGTCGATCTGAACATAAACGCACTGTTGAAAAGAGAATAGCTGTTAGGGATTGTATGCTTGAACCTTCTAGATATATTTCTTTTTAAACCCTGTACTCATTGAAACAGTGCCTTTAAAAATATATCRAAAAAGCTCAAAATTACTTGCACGTACATATTCAACTGAATTTAAAAATCTGAATTTGGAATGCAAAATAACACTATTTCTAGCCCAAATCATCGGCAAGTCAGGTTGGGAATGGAGGAAGAAGAGGGATACTGTTTTGAAGAAAAAGTTATTTCTGCTTTGGGATTGGAGACTCTGTGTTTCTGAACAATTCTCATTTTACGCCTTCAGCGAACATTGAAGAAAAATACCATTTTGCAAGATTCTCAAAGACTGTTAAAACAGATATTACTGAGTTCTTATGCACTTATTCACTTCAAACTTCAAACACAGAGCAGTATCTTGCAAATCTTCCACATAAAAGCAAAGGGAGGGAAAGCACTCCTATTCATACACTGTGTCTAAACCAGAAGTTATTAGACCTACATGTAATAATTATAAAAAAGGGTCAAAGGGGGAAGCAAAGCAATATTCAATTAAGAGAATCCCATTAACAAATTCTGAAAACCAAATGAGAACAGATAACAAACGGAGAGGAAGAAGGTTACAGCCTTAGTTCTATTTTTAATATCCTACCATGTGCATACATTTACACACGGCAGCAAAAGTTTCCAATAATTGACTATACAACTGAGATTTGTCAAAGTATGTAAACATAACTAAGAGTAGTCTGAAATGCCATGGGTCAAACAGTTGCATTAAGATGAACTGAACTTTTTTTATATTAATGAGTAATCTATAGTGAACAGTCAGTAGAGGTGTAACAGTCTCTAGTTGGACTATCACCAATATTCTTGTAAACTCCAGCAGCTGGTAACTTATGAGCCTTGAACACTACTTTCCCTAAAACACATTACACTAATTAAAGTTCAGAAAACAGTTTTTGGAGGCTGAATAAGTTGCTGGTATTATAAGTTGCTAACTTATAAGAAAAAGCTTAAAATTTCGTGATTTTGATCTGAATGTGGTCTCATACTATTTGTTTAAGCATATTCTCAATGTAAGATTAAAAAGTAATATAGGTTTTTTTTAGTCTCGGCAAATCTGCTGTTAGTACTGAATACAACAGCTCCATTTGTATACATTACAGAAGCATATTAAATTAAAATGTCCTAAATACATAAAAAGTTACAAACTTTGGAGCTGTTCTCCAAAGGTAGAGCCTTATGAATGTGCTTAGACTTTTTATCACAGCAGGATCTTGCAGTGCATTGAAAGGTAAAAGACTAAAATCACAAGCCAAAATACACAGCTTTGAAAGCATTCAAGCCCTATTCAAACCAAACTCAAACTTCTGGAAAGTGCATATATATTAAAAACAATTTATGAATAATAAAAATAATAAAAAAACACTCTGTTCTTTTCCTAGTTCTTTTGAAAATACACACCTTGACAATTTTGCTTACTTTATCATTAAGTGCTGAAAAACACACAGAAGAGAAAAAGAACGAATGGAAGAGAAGATGTGCAAATTATGAGATGGAGATGGCACAAGCAGGAAAAAAAGCAGTAAAATCTGAGGAGCCTTCCAGTGTTAAATAAATAACTAATTCTCAACACAGAGCCAAGTTTAAATCCTCTCATCAGCAAATTTCATCAGCACACATTTAATACTCAACCCAGTAACATTCAGTGCCATTAATGCTTAGCACTACAAAAGCCTGGTCCCCAACTCCCAGGTCTGTAACGAGCACCTCCTGGCCTGACGTTTCTCCCTTCCATCCTGTCTCACTGCTCTTTTCCGGCAGTGTTGGAGTGCTTTCAATAATACTAAATATTAATGCTGTTTCTCATAGTCGCTCACACAAGAATACGAATATTTAGTTTACTGAAAATTATTTCTTTCACCTAGAAAATAGTTTGCACAACTTATTATTAATAAATTGTATCACATTTTATTGCCTTATCCTTTTTATCTCCATAAATATAACCATCCTTTCCTTCAAATATTTTCCCAGCAATTTTCCACACCAGTAGAATCTGAGTTACAAAATAATTTTAAGTTAAAGCCTATCTCCATGARATATAAATTGCAAATGTGTGCTTCTATTGTCATTTTGTTACACAGGAATACATTTAAAAATGAAATGCCCCAATGRAGACATGAAGAATACCTACACAAAATAATGCTTTCACATGTACTATGTTACAGCTCAAAGGCATGTGATTAAGTGTGAACTATTTCATAAATTAAAGGTGAACTTAATTAATTCTAATGAAATCACCTGGAGCTTCAGATACCTCCTTTTAATCTGCAAAAAAGTACTATTAAAAATAAGTCAAAGAATAGATTCTGCTTGCAGGCATCTTTCCYATCTCACATCACCTGAAAAACATCTGAAGATACTAATATAATCATAAGGTCTGTGCCTGCCATGGGCTTGGAGGGAGAGGTGGAAGATGGGGGTGATGGACCCTTAGTTTAACTGTACAAGATGCTATTGACTGTCTTATGGACCTAAGCTATGCATTTGGTTGGACTAAATTATGTAACTACAGTTTTTAAATAGTAAACTTTGCCAAGCATATTTATACAAGTTATTCAAGCAATCATGTAAAGAGGAGGAATATGAAGTACCTTGTAATGGTAGTATTTTCACACCAAATTCTTCAAGGTAACCAAGAGCACGAATGAGATCTAGTTCCTCCTGAATAGCACTAGGGCAGTCAACAATTAGTTGTAGACAGCACCTAAAACAAGAATGAAACCAATTTTTAGTTAAAAAATACCCGTACAAAAAAAAAAAAAAAAAGATCAACTCCTTCCTTTATGAATGGAAAACAGAACTATCAATCTGTACCAACTCAACTAGTACTATAACATAAGTCATAGGTATTTTTACAGAATAATCCTGTTAGTTGGTTAAGCATTTTAACCAAATTCTATTCTCAGATAGCAATATTTTTTTTTCATTGGATTGTATTAAGAATAGTGTCTAACTCCTCTGAAATTAGAGTTGCAGGGAATTCAGTGAAAGAAAGATATTTCTTTCCATTTTCTTCTCCATTTTAACATATAATTACTTTGGGAAACATCTGTCATCTGTACCAATGGTGGTCTCTGGTGCTACCATATACCATAGGCAAAAAGTCCATAGGAAGTTGGGTCAAAATGCAAAATCCTTTGTCGAAAGTTCCAGTATTGTCAACTGTATTCAACAAATGTAAATAAAATTCATACAAACACAAAATAAAATTGTTTCAAAAAGAAAGMGATTTCTTTCTTCAAGTCAAAAGGACATGTTGGCTGTATTCCCATCTCAGGCCCATTTTTCAGGAGCCCTAACAAACATGCTGGTGTTAAGGAGAGTGGAAGGAACAAGAATGGAATGGGAAAACAAGAATAAAACYAAAACCAAACTGGCTAGAGATAAGATGAAAACTGGTTATGCCTAAAAGAGAATTCAGGAAGATTAATTTCCATATACCAATAACCATTTGGAGAAATAAGATGGATCTTTGTGAAATGGTGATTAAAGAAAAGTTCAAAATATCACACTAAAGAACAGAAACACATGGTCACACAGAGCAATATTTTAGACTAAAACACACATATTTTGAAATTTAACCATAAAACCATACAATACAAGTTGATCAGGGGACAATTCTGAAATAGTGGAATTATAGCATTCTGTATTCCAATACAGAAGAGTCTTTCAATGGGTTCTGGGCAAAACTAACCTTTGTAAGTACGTCCTAATTTTATGATGACACTTGGTCCATTTTTCCAGAAGGACTAYATCACATAGCTGCTTGCAACAGCAAATGACTGGGCAAACCATCTGTTCCAAATATAAAAGCATTTTGTTCCTACTGCTCCAAAATACAGCTATTCATCAGTGTAAGCCAATAAAGTCCTCCATGTCCTGCCTTAGCCCACACAGGGTTTCTCTCTTGTACAGAGAGCAAATCCCACCACCACTGTATCCTCTCCTGCTATAAATAAGCAGTTAATGAGGAAGCTTAACCRTGGGGAATATATGTATACATTGAAATTATCACATTGTAATCTGAACACTCAAACAGCGTATGCACCTGTTTCAATGTGTTCCCAACACAGTATGTTTCTTTTATACATATATATATATGCACACACACATGTAGATATACASAAATACTTACAGTGAGTCCTGAGCCACTTAGACCCGTAAACACAGACACATTCCTAGAGAATCTCCAAGCAATAATGATACTCAGTAGGGTTTTTTGTAAGAAAAAAGCAAGTCCACGTTACAATTTTCAGCAAAAGCAAATTCAAATTTCAATTAAAAAAAGCAGTATGTTTTGACATATATGGTAATTGTGAATATACCTGGCCAAATCCATGCAGCTATCAGTCAAGCTCGTGGAAGAATTGAAATACTCTCTGCCAGCAGCCAAAACTAGCTCGATACTTTTCTCATAGCTGACTCTATACTGTGGCTTCCCTTTGGAGGCAGTCAGCGGGTCTGCCGACCAAGCACTGCAATGCATCATTTGTCCAGCCAAGTGGATATTATCTAGACTGCTTGAGCACAAAAGACTTTCTGTGAATATCTAGAAGAAAGAACAGTAATTTAATAATTTGCAGCAAGAACTTCATGAAAGCATGTTTGCATTCTATAGAGCCATTCCCTTTGAATGAAAGACTCTTTGAAGTTATAAGAATGTATTTCGAAGTAGAAAATAACTTGGGGAGTTTTTTTTTTTAAGTAAAATTAAAATTAACTAGTGACAAGTTATTTCTAGTTCATGCAGAGAAAAAATACGGATTTCATTGTTATAATAAAAATTGGCCATCAGACATAATTTTACCTAAATTCTGAACTATCAAAATGCATGCAAGAATCTTAAAAGACATTTCAAGGTTAAGATCTGAAAAACAAAGCTATAAAAGCACAAAGTCTGTATTCTTGAAGAAAATATTTAGAAATGATCATACATAATGAGTTTTAAGGTTTTATCCAGACTATCTTCACAGAATGTATATTAACATACTGCCACTGCATGAAACAATTAACTGCAGATCAAAAACCTAAAGCAACTCAAAACTGTCTGAATTCCTTTCAAAAATATGTATCATACGTGTTGCAGAACCAGGCATCAGTGTAGTTTTAATTTACCAACATATGGATTAAAACATTTCAGAAAATGAATAGCAGGTACAAGAACGTGATCTTTGTCATAGGTTTCTAATTTCCTAAGTATTTCCTAGCTAAGAACAAGCTCTCCAAATCTCCTTATGCTTTGTTTCAATACTGAAGGACCACAGATTTGTTTCATAAAAAAAAAAAAAAAAAAAAAAAAAATTGCCCCAATATCCACTTCACAAGATGCAATACTATTAAAAAATTTTTTTGAGGGCCATAGGTTAAATTTATCATCTATTAATAAATAATTTAATATTAACACAATTACTTTCTATTAAGATCACAGCAAAGATCCCACAAGTTTCAATTTTTCTATGTGCTCTAGCACATTAGAATGCTACACTTCAATTTCAAAAATCTTTTAGGTATACTCAGACTGTCACAAAACCAGAAACATGAAATATATTTGAAGTTGCACACAGAAAACCATAATTATACAACTGCAGAGTGACATTTTTTATTTATTGCTTGAATGTCAATTGCTTTTTTGCCTCAAGATTTTTTTTCCTGATTTGCTTTCAATAATTCTCCCAAGAGCTAATCAAACTGGCCGCCCTAGCAAACTAAATCTGTAAACTGTAATAAGGAARTCTTACATTATTAATCTTTTAATGTATGCCAAGGTCCTATACAGATTACAGAGGGCATAGCACAAATTTTGCAATAAACTACAGTATACTGAAGTAAGAATGTAATTTTCTGCTTTGACTGTAAATACCATTAATGAGCCAAACAGACAATCAGCAAGTAATATAACACAAGAAGGTGTATTTCTATTTGTAAGCAATAATATGAAATGAGAATTTGTAACTTACTTGGGACATAACTTTAGAGTCCAAAAAACTCACCTCATAGCAAGCATCTGCATGTAAGCACGTATATACTTTCTGCTGCATGTCCAACATATCCTGAAGCAATTCCTTCCAGCGTGTCTCACTCACTGAGGGTTGCCTATGAACATTTTTAAAATTAAATATTCTCTTCTTCCACAATATTAAAGAAAGGCTGATAATATTACAATCTCATCATCRAAAAAAAAACAAAACAGTTTTCTTGAAAGCTATCAATCTGTAACTGGACTTTTACTTGAAACTGGTTTCAAGACAGAATGCTTCTTTTCTTACATCAAAACGCTGCCTACAGGATACAATTTTTGACATGAGTGAAATTCTTGAATTTTTTGGTTTGTTTTCTGTGGAAGGAGATAGGGATGCAAGCATATTTAATCACAGTCTTCCATTAGTTCAAATGTTCATGGAAGATTTTGATTATTTTACAAAGTTGTAAATGTTGCCTTCATGGTGATCCAATAACTGGATAAAAACAAATTTGTGACAGCCACTGCAAATCATTAGAGTGCATTTACTATACACTATAGTATAATACAGTAAAACCTAGTATAATACAGTATAGACTATAGTATAATACAGTGCATTTACTATAAGCAATCATAAAAAGCTAACCAATTACCTACAGGCACATTAGAATAAAGCAGCAAATTAATTTGTTCCTGAAACAACAGGGTTYAGATCCTTTATCTGGATCCACAGTATCTTAACCCACAAAGCATCCTAGTGAAGTTCATGTGCCATGAACTTTATAAGTTTATCTAAACTTATAAAAATAAAAAGGCTAGGGATGTTTACGTAGACATTGTTTTGACTGAGCATTACACAGTAAAAAAAAAAAAAAAAAAACCACTGTTTTATATACGCACACTAGACCAACTGACAATGATTTTCTCATGTGACTAATATTTCTAAATATTAGCTTCCATTTTTGCAAAGGAGTTCTACAAACACTAAGCACACACTTACTCTATGTTAATTATTATTCTTCATAAAGTACTCAATACCAATACGCCTTCCAGGCTTGTTGAACTTAATCCAAGCACAAAGATACTGTCCTGCTTCAAACTCTTTACAGTATCTGACATCTGGAGAAGGCTGCCAGAACACTTAAGAGTATTAATCTTGAATTTTGTGTGTTTTATAGATGGTGTGTTCAGTCTGAAGACAACACTTCTCTTGCAACATGACAGAGAGCAATGCTCTCGGAAGATGAGCACTGTTGTTCCCTGGCCCTCCTTTTGCCCTCTTATCCCCATTTCTCTTTTGGATACTAACTTGCGACCCGTGTGCCTTGTCAGCCTAATCATCAGCTTCCGTGCCTCCTCCAGGTTGTCCTTGGTGTTCTTCACAAATGAAACAGGCTTCTGAAGTCCGTGTTTCTCCAAAAGCTCTGATACACTGCAAGTGAACAGTCAAAATTTTTGAATTCTGCAGTCACACAAGCTGTAACAGACAATGCACCCTAACACAAAGAAGTATCTATACATAGCATCTATAACAGAAAGGATTAATCAAATTTATTTCATTACATAGTGAAAAACTTTACAATTCTGTGGTGTTAACATAAATAACATAACAAAATTGATGAAACATATTCACAGCTTTTCTTTTCAGTCCATTAAAAGCAACACAGTCTATCAAGACTAAAAAAGTCCCACAGACATTTTGAGTGTCCCTCCCCCACCTCATTCTCCATCAAACAGAATATTCCAAGAACAATATTTGTGTATTTGTGCAAATATTTTTGTAACATTCAAATAATTATTAGGAATGCTTTCTAGCTAAGTCCTGAACACAAAAACTGGAAGATTACCATGCCAACAGCCCAGCACAAGATAAACATTCTTGCTATTTTATTGTCAAGATTTCTGGATACGCACAGTAATTTACCTAAGAATGTACACTTTATTTTGGTAAAATTAAATACCTAAGAATCCGTTCCAGTTCATCTACTTGATCATGAAGAGCGTTAGTTTTACCTGTTTCAGGCCTGCAAAGATATTTTAAAATAAATAAATAAAAATAAATAAATAAATAAAAAGAATCACACTTTCTGCACTTTGCTGATATAAAGAAGTACTACGAAGTACTGGTAAGTTTGAAACATTCCTTTACTTTAGTAACAAATYAACTGATCTTGTAAAAGATCAAGCAATTCAAGTTTTTAGTTTCTTGCTGCATGTATAGCTAAAATGGAGACCAAGGCTCTTCAAGAGCAGACTCTTTTGCCCTAAAGACTTCTCTCAGGATTTATCCTTTCTGCATGTAAAAGATATTGGGGAACTAGMGTGTAGCTCCTCTTTCCAGATTACATCTTCTCTTTTTGTTTATGCTTTCCTTTCTTCTAGAATTATTCTTCCTTTGCACAGATTTTTCTAAATTAAAACCTCTCCCACACAACCATAATGCTGTTTATTATCTTAAGGCACTATCAACTGTAACAAGAGCAGCAAGAGTAGTAAAAGAAGATTAATATTTGGTTTCAATTCACAAGGATATAAAAAGCTAGGAAATTAATACAGGTTTGGTCCGTACTGCTAATTTAAACATTTTGATACATATTGGACACATTATTTGTTTGAGGAACTGTGACACRCAAACATCACACACAAACATTCAGACTGCAATTCAGATTATTCAACATTACATACTTTTTAATGACAGTGATTATTTAATAATGACAATTGCCATAGAAAGCAGAACAAGAGTTGAAGTAATATTACCAAGTATTTTTAAAGCACTACTTTGGAACTATACYGAACATATCTAAAGTATTTAAAATAACTATCAGAAATTTCTTACCCATATCCTCTTTGTGGAAGGCATTCCAAAATATCATAACAGAGGGCGAGCTGGTCATCTCGTTCACAACCAAAAATACATTCAAGTGCTGTAATCATAAGCTGGTCTTGATCGTGAATAATTTTTTGCTGACACTAACAAGAAAAGACAGAAGCCATAAAATACTTTGTTTCCTTCTTCCAGTCAAACCGTTGAATGTCTGCTGAAATCAATGTGTACGTGCATATATCTTCTAGTTCTGCTTACAAGGTCTCTTCCTAACAATTTCAGTAAAGTCACTGTCATAAAGTGATAAAGCCTGAAACTCAACCAAGCTACTTTCCTACACTGTGGACATCTGTAAGACCAAGGTATTCAATTTTATCCTGCATTAATTTGGTAGGGGAAGGCAGACTACTATTAACATTGGTCAAATTTAATTTRTGCAACAGTATTTTTATATGTGTATATATCTCTATCCATAAAGATACACAGATAACTGTGTACTATTAGATCCATTTATAACTTTCAATACTATGTAAACAAGTGATTAACCTTTGAATAATTTTGCATTGTAGAAAAAATATGAAATATTCATAAGGCTAAAAATCACCTATCTGAAATGTACCTGGTACTTTCAAAAGCATTCTTCTTTCTCCATCATTTACATTAACCCAAGCATATAAGTGAATATATATAGTATATATAAATATATATGAATTATAACTCATAGATCATGATACTTGATTTTAAATAGGGTTTCAGGAGACCAAGACTTGCATGTAATTTTCTCTGGTGTTCTGGAACTATATGATTCCAGAATAATCAGGATGATTTGGGTGCTTTTTGCTGTTGAGTGTTTTTTGTTTGTGTTATTTTTTCTCTCCTATTACACCAACAAAAGGAAAAGATACAAAGAAAGGGAAATTAATTATCTCTTAATTACTTAAAAGGAAGAGACAACGAAGAGAAAATGAARTGTATTTTTTTGAAAGAGAAAGTATTAATCACAGAATCACAAAATCATCACTCATTCCTTTTCTAAAAAGACCTTTTGCCAGAAATTTATTTTAAACAATGGAATCAATAATAGTTTTTAGACTGTTTTCTGTACTAGGTCAAGATCATAATTACATTAGGTTGACAATCTCATCAAGGACAGATGAGTTGTTTCATAATTCATGCTTTAATATTTTTAATTAACATTTTCTATAAACATGACAAATGTACAATCCAAAAGGAAGAGAAAGAATTCAGAGTGAATCTGATTTAGAAGAAAAAACAGCCTTATTTACGACTTAGCCTCTTCAACACAAAATTTTCAAGGAAGCCCATAGAATCAGCGGGCTTCTATACTTACAGAAGGTTTTGAATTCTGAAATATCTTGAGAGGTAGCGTCAGGTCATCCTTTGCTAAAGTCACTAAATATTCTTTAAAAAGTGAATTTGCCAGACCAGGGGAATGACTTTCACAGCGRTGGAGAAATGGGATCATCCACTGATAAACATTTTTCACATATTTTTCTTCAGAGGACTGGAATGAGACAGAGGGAGTCAGGGGAAAAAGTAGTGAAAAAATTCAGATACTTTTTCAAAATGATAATAAAGAACAGAACAAGCTTTGATCCATTTAATTTCAGCATTATTTGTCATAAATAACAACTAAGAGCAGAAGTCTGAACTTTCACTACAGCCTAGATCACTATGATATGAGCTACAGAAGCAATTCATCTTCTTGGTGCTACTGAAAGGCTTGGGGACACCAAGCAGCACAGGAAAAAAGACCATTACAAGAACACGAAGTTCTCCTCCTCATGCAATTTTTGAACTAGTAAAAGGTGAGTTTGCATCCATGTCAGAATAATATTACTTTTAATATTTCAGTAAACAAGAATACAAGACAGGAAAACAAAACACAAGTGGTTACAAACGGTAGCAAAATTCTAAAGTTTCTAMGAGCTTCCAAGTCTATGTTCTTCTCTAGCTTACATGAATTTCAAACTGAATTTCATTTTCATTTGAATTTCAAAGCCCTGTTTTATCTCTAGGTATCTTCCATCCTCTTCAAAAAAGGCACAGCTTTTTCTATTTTGAAATGCCATGCAAAGGCTTAACCCTGAAAAGATTAAATGCACGCATATTCTGCAAAGGCAAATATTACTTGTCACCATTTTCAACAAACATCAAAAAAAATCCAAGAAAAACATTCAATATGTAGCTGCAGCACGAGTAACACCTATACTGATGATCCTCCAGAAACAACGGATGGAAAAGTAATTCACAGCTTTCACATTACTGRAATTTTGAGCCCCATGCCTAGAATGAAGACACAGGTTTTCAAGAAAACAGGAAAAGCATCTGATAGGTTGTTCATCAGAAAAATGCAAAGTAACAGTGCAGTTACAGATAAAAAGCATYTACAGTAAGCGGAATTATTGGAATCAGGCCCTAATTAGTGATGTGTTCAAAATACTTACATTCTTCATCAGCAGTCTCAGTTTTTCAATGTCTTTCAACTCTACTAGCTCCTTCAAAGTTAAGGTTCGATCACCTTCAGTTTCATAAACTACCGTCTCAAGAGTAATTAGATTGTCACAAAGAGTCTGCAGACCGGGAATATTCCTCTCCATGCCAAGACGGACAAGGGACAGAGCACAATCCACCTGAAAAAATAAAAACAAACATCCTGCTGTACAAGTGTTTAACAAAGAAGAAAGTACAAGTCACCGTCCTGTTTGTCCTCTTTTCTTAAGAGTAATTCTTAGTTCTTATGTCACCTCTATTTTCCTAAATGGGTTGCTCATCTCAGCTTTATAAACACAAAGCAAATGCTTAGGTTAAGTAACTGATACCATTATAGGCCTTTCAGCCCAAGTGTATCCTAAGCAATTAATGCATGTAAATTAGGAGAATAGTATCTTCTGATTCCTTCTGTAGATCACACAGAGAGAGGCACCTCAATGCTCACCATAGGTTACAAAGGCTTACCTTTACCAGCAGTTATACTGGTTACATACATATATGTAATACAAAGTTTGAGACCAAGTAATACTACTAGTATCCAGATTTCTAGACAGGTACAGACTGATGAGAAGGGGAGGACTATTTTTTTGCTTTTAAACATAGGGACTTTGAAAAATTGGCGCTATAACAACAAAGCTCAAATGACATATAAAAGTGTCACATATAACAGTGTCACTGCTCACTACCAATGCTTCTAATWCTCATTAACAGAAGTTACTATGAARAAAGTGGATTATCTCAAGACAGCCACCACCAGTTCTTCACTGCTGTTCTCACCTGCATAGAATAATTTTCAATTTCTTGTGCTCTGTTCAAATACCAGTCAGAAACCAGATCTACTGAAAGCTCAGTAGTCCTATACTTCAGTAATTCAGGTTGCATTTCATACAGAAATTCACCTTCATCTTGAAGAGTTGGTTCAACAATCTTCCTAAAAAAAGCAAAACAAAAGCAAACAAAAAAATCCACATAGTACATGTTTATACAAATCTGTTTTCTGAAAGCTCTGATTATTCTAGAGAAATGATCGTTCTGCAGAAGGATACATATTAACCACATCAATCCTCTATGGCATAAATACTTCGAACAGATTCAAATACCAATCACAGTAAGTGTGTTTTTCTGTCAGCCAAGTAACTAGAGTATATGCCCAGACTCTGAATTCTGTTTTTCATGCAATGAGAAGCATTAATGGCATCCATAATTATAAGGTTAAGGTTTGCAAGCAACAGGAAAAAAATAGCATTTCCTAAAGTAATCTCCCCTCTACTCTCTTGCATATGGATCAGCTTTGCATCGTATAATCACACTGAACATAATTTAGTAACATGAAAGAATGTTTGTTCACCAAGTGTTATGAACAGAGCTAAAAGGCAAACTAGCATATAGAAAAATTGGAACAAATTTTACTGAGATCCTGAACTCCAAGATTTCCCAGATTTTAAGAATTTGTATGGAAGCTATGCAACTGAAACAAAAATACACAAACCATTTTGCTTTTATCCATACACTTACTTGCATTCTGCTTTTTCACACCAGTCTTCTTCACGATGTTTCTGCTCATTCCAGGGAAGAATCTTCAATGTCCCCTGCCTGTAACTGGTGTAAAAGAAAACAGAAGTTTTACACCAGAAATTTGGAAACAAAATGGAAGGGCATTCAATTAACAGAACACAGGATATGCAACTATTGCACTCCCAATGTGCAACTATGGGAGTAAAGTTATAGTCAAGAACATCATTTACTTAGTAGATTAATTCTTGAAGAGATATCACTTTTTAAAACACAGCTACATAGGTATTATTTTGTTTCAGTTATAGTATCTGCCATGTGTATACATACACATGTGCACAACCACATACACATGTGGTTGTGTGCATAAATTATTAATCAATAATTATAAGTTAATTATTAATAATTAATACACACACTCTCACACAACCTACGACTAAGTCCCACTGAAGGTTTAGCAAAAAATTTTATCGACCGTACAAAAAAAAAAAAAGAAAAGCMTAAGAACATGCTGTAAAAATCCTTACTGCTTCACTGTAAGAAGCACTCTGACTTCACATTCTAAAATTGAAGATTGAAACTAGTAACAACAACCACCTCRGATTTTCAAAGCTTAGAATCCTTCAAATCTGAGCACAAAACCTTAGACTGAGCTGAATGGAGATATGCCCAGATGGACTGATTTTCTCAATTAAGCCCAGCATGGTTTTCTGACTACAAACATTTGCAGTGAAACATATTCTAAACACTGATGTTGAGGCAAAAGCCTGTTTAGGGCACAGGTTTAGAACAACATGAGTTATTACCAGAACCATTAGTCATGGTTTGCTCTTGTCAGCTACTCATTTAAGTAGCATGAAACCCCAGAAAATCCTGTCAAGCTGAACATAAACTGAGTGAGAAAGTGTATTTATTTTTACAAATCACAGATCCAAGAAACAGATCACGTACAAAGCCAAGACATTAAAGTTTCAGCACACGGGAGCAATAAACTATTTTAAGTCTTACCTATTTCCTCCTGGCCCTGACAATTAATAGAAAATGTAGCAATAAATGGACAATCCCTGGTATGGCAAACTAACAACTGATGTAATCTGCTCACCCCTTGAAAAGCAGCAGTGCTGAAATCAGCAGGGCTGACCTCAAGAAACACATACACACCGTGGGCCAACATATGGATCAGCTTTGCAAACTAAATGTCAGAACAACACACTGAAAAGCAGCAACTCCATCTCATTTATCATCAATAGTCCTTAAATGTATTTAAGGAAGCAAAGTATGTTTATACACACAGGTACTCGTGCCTTTTCCCAAGGGCATCTCCCTTCCTTGGCCATGGCTCTTCTTCAACAGTATCATTCAGTCACTCAAAGGAAAGATGCAAAATTAACCTCCAAATCAACATTTTTGATATTAGCAAGCATAACATTCTGAAGTTAACTTTAATATAAGCTAAGAATRTTTTTGTCCCTCAGGATAAGGCCTGAAAAAAGGTCCTACACTAAAAATCTGTACAGCCCAATACCGCATTGAACGGGGTCTTGCTAATCCACCTCTCACAACGTGCTACCGACACAGTAAAACTACAGCCTGCCTGGAAATATGCTAAGAAACTACTCAGTTTCAATTTAATCTAATAATAATTTAAAATTTATCACAATTTGCAAAGTTTCCTAATGGACCAAAGGCTTCTTCACATTATTAATACAATCCAGTCCTTTCGTAGGTCCTAATCGATGATATTAGGCAATGAACAGTCTTATATTTTAAAGCAAGAATTAC